TGTGTAAGGTTTCCAGGGAGCAGCTGGTGGGTCTGAACTGCTCACCTTGTTAGCAGTCCAGTGCTTATCCTACAGCTATAATTAAAAACAACAACAAGAAAGCGCAATGAGGACTTGTGAAATGGCTGGGGATGGCTATAGAGGGAAATACCCACACTAGAGACCCATCCCATTATAATAGCTAGGTCGTGTGGACAGGTCTTAAGGAGCACATGGCCAGGATCTTAGAACTCCACCAGAAAACCCCAGAGAAACCCACTGCCATCAGGTTAATTCTGACTCACAGTGACCTTAAAGGACAGAGGTGTTGTTATTGTTAAGTGCCGTCGAGTCGGTTCCGACCCATAGCGACCCTGAACAGGGTTTCCGCGGCTGTACATCTTTACGGGAGCAGAAAGCCTCATATTTCTCCCACGGAACAGCTGGTAGTTTGAAACTGCTGACTCGCAGGACAGAGTAGAAGTGTTTATTCCTTACCATTTCCGGGGCTCTTTATAGAGCAGACAACTTCATCTTTCTCCCACTTAACCCACTCTATCAACCAGGGCTCCTTAGAATTCCAGACTTCAGAAACAACCTCAGGGTCTGCAGCCCTGGAGCCTACTGAGGACAGGAAAGTCTAGCTGATGACATTAGTGGGGAGGAGAATCTTAGAGTGAGCAGGCCTTCATAGCCATGGCTGTGCACTAGACTCACCAGAGATTTAAAAATATTCTCAGCTGCACCCCAACCCCAGACCAGTTAAGTCAGCCCTCAGTGTTTGTCATGGGGGCCCTGGGAATACAACCTGCAGCCAGAGTTGAGAACCAGCCACAAGGGCCTGGCTGTCTCCTGAGCCAGAGGCAGTGAATTGGACTGAAAATACCTCTCCCAAGAAGTTGGGGGAGGTGGATGTACTGGGAGAGTGATCTGGATGAGAAAGCAAAGTACGTCAAAATGGTGACCGGGGCTTCTGTTGTTGGGCATGTGTAAACTTTGGGGAAGGCAGATTTCCCTCTCAGGAATATGTAGGTGAACTTGCCCCCAATATGCTACAAGGAGTATTTATTCTCTTGGGAGATTTTTTTCTAAATTTATACTCACACATCCTGTTATGTTGGTCATTTCCGATTCATAGTGACCCCACGTGACAAAGAATTGCCTATGGAGTTTCCCAGGCTGTGTATATGTATATATATATATATATATATATATATATTTTTTTTTTTTTTTTTTCCTTTGTAACCAAGTTACTCAGTTTTGTTCTTTAAAGGGTGGGCCTTTCCTCTCTCCCTGGACTAATTCCAAACTTTAGTTTTCACCACAAGAGCGAAGTATCTCTACGATAAACACTGGACTGCTAACCATAAGGCCAGAGGTTTTGAGCCACCAGCTGCTCTGCTGGAGAAAGATGAGGCTTTCTGCTCTTAGAAAATTCTATACAGGGTATATGGAACCAACTCATTAGCACTTAACAATGACATTTTAAAATAGTATTTATTGTGTTTTAAGTGAAAATCTACACAGCAAATTAGGTTGCCCTTTCATAGTTTGTGTACAAATTCTGTGTTTCTGGGGTGACAGTTTTTGTAGTCATTGTCATTATTTGCATTCTGACTATTGATCTGGTTTTCCGTCCCAGTTTTGACCTTGGGTGAGTGCTAATCATTTGGCCTCACATCATTCCTTGTTATGGGGTCACGCCTGCATCTTTATGGAAGCAGATGGTCAGGCCTTGCTCCTGCAGACCCACTGGTGGAGTCCAACGGCTCATTGTGCCACCAGGGCTCGCCAGATACAGCAAGGCCTGAAACCCAGATTTTGCATGTTTGTTTGTTTTTTACTCTTTCCTTTGTTAAGGATTTTGGCTGTAACAGTGAGTCTGGATTGTACCTAATATTGGGGTATAGCAACACATTGTTGTCTAGGACAATGCTTTGGAAGGTAGCTTGGTTTTTGTGTGTGTGTATGTGGTTTTTGTTCTTGTTAAGAACCGTGACTAATATATTTGCATTTCTGGGGTTAATCCTACTTGTGCAATTATTATTTGAAGTCACCATTGAGTTTTGTTTTCAATGTTTGTATCTGGGTTGGTAAGTCACACTGGCCTATAGTTTTCTTTTCGTGTTGTTCTAATCTGACTTTAGTGTCAAATTGGAGTTAACTTATAGGACTGTTTCTGTAGGAGAAATTCTAGTAGAATTGTTGGACCTAGGAGGCTGTGCATGTTTAGTTGTTTTTAAATGAGAGCAGGAAGAGGATGGAAATGCTCTATTCATGATTTACCCAGAACATTTCCCCTTTATAGACACAGGAGTCCTGGTGGCTCAGTGGTTAAGCATTGGGCTGCTAAACAAAAGGTCCGTAGTTTGAACCCAGTAGCCAGTCTGCAGGAGAAAGATGTGCTGTGAAAAGCCCTAGAAACCCGAGGCATTTCTACTCTGTCCTGTTGCTCACATTGAGTCCCAGTCAGTGGCACTGGGTTTGGGTTTGATAGAAACATGAACAGTGTGGTAACACAGTTACCCTGTAGGATTGATGTCAACACAGGAATTCCACCTATTTTCCCACAAAAAAGCCTTCTCTGCACCAGTCTTGAACTGCCTTTGTGGTTGTGTGCATTCTGACTCACAGCGATCCTGTATAGGGTTTCTAAGAGCTATAGTTGTAGAAAGTACCTTTCAGGCTAGAACCGTGATGTTCATAATCATCCCCGTGGTTTGGTTCTGCCATCACACTCCCTATTACACTTACTTGTGTGAAGAAGGACAACATCTGTGGCCCTCTTCCTTTTAAAGGGAGTATTTTTACCTTAATTATTCTTTTACCAATAATACACAATTTGAACTTCTAAGTAACATGCAAGATTTAAATTCTTGAACAGCCTTTGTGGTTGTGTGCATCCTGACTCACAGCGATCCTGTATAGGGTTTCTAAGAGCAGTTGTTGAGTTTGAACTACCAACCTCTCGGTTGGCAGCCCAGTGCTTACCCTCCAGAGTCATGCCAAGGCTGAAGCTGAATTTACACAGGTGCCATTAAGAGATTTTTTTACAGTTATGCACTTAGCCATGATAATGGTGGGCATACTAGATTCTATAGGGGCAAGAAAGCACTGCTCGGCATCCGGAGACACATCACATGGAAGTCAGACAGCGATCAAGCCGAGGTAATGATTTTCATGCTTGCTTAGCTAGCTGAGTAGGAAGCTAGAGCTGCTCAAACCTCACAGCTTCAAGCTCCTTGCATGAAGGAAAGTCTATCCTGGTGGTACTTTCTGTAGGGGAAGTGTCCCCCCACTCCCTCCCCCCCAAAAAAATTGTGTACAAATTGAATTTAAAACAATACATGTTTTTGGTTGTTTTAAGAGAATTCACTGTTTGAAGGACAATGGCTGAATCTTGTAACAAAAGAACAGTTGCCTCAAATCTTAATACATTTGGATTTTGGAGTCTCAGCCTGCTTTAAGCAAGGCATTATTCGAGCGCCGAGTGTATTTAAAGGAAAGTTGCATCGTAAGGATTAATTATAATTTTACTTGATTCTGTTGCATCAGAATTACAAATGTACCACCATATAATATTTCTATCAGTGACCCTGATATTTTAAGTCTGTTTGAACCTTGTCTTATGGTTTCTTATTGCTTCACCTTCTCCTTTCTTAGACTTACGAGAACATACTACTTCTGGGTACTGGCAAGAAAAGCGTTGTCCTGTATAAAGTCTTCCTAATAGTCCCTTAAGGTTATTAAAGAGCTTGTTATGCAAACAGTTGCTGTCTTGGCAGAGATAATAAAATACACAGGACTGCCTTAGTGCCATGTTACCATTTTAACTGATAACACCTCACCTATCTGGACAAACATCATCGCTCAGACTAAATTTCTAGACTTTATTTTTTTTGACATTTTCATAGCATTTTGTAGAGCCTGCTTTCAATTTTACAAACAAAAAATTTCGTCTGAGAGTGTGCCCCATGTAGCAGCCATGAACAAGTTCCAGCTCCAATGTGAGGAGTAATCTGCAGCTCTGAATCATGCTGCAGAAAACCATTCCCAGCAGTCTGTGCGGGATTGATTCCTACTCCGTCACCGGGAATAACTGCACTTGTTGCTGCAGGAACTTTAAATTCTTCTATGAAAGGTGTACTCAGGAATACCGAGTACTGTGGGCTGCAGCCATGGATCCCACATTAGCGTGATCTTAAAGGAAATGTGGTGATCACGTCTGGTCCAAGGTTTCACGCCAACTCCTAGTATTTTAATTTTACCTAGTCTTTGAAAAGAACTAATAAATTTCTTCTCTATAGCTGCCATAGTTTCTTACACTGGTGTGGCGCTATAGGATCGGCAGGTCAAACCCACCAGTTGCTTCCGGAAACCCTATACAGGGTCGCTAAGTCAAAACTGACTCAATGGTACTTAATAAAAACAAATGAGAGAAAAGAAGTTTTATGAAATTAAGTGACTTTATGTCTGGTCTTTCTGCTAAATGACCCAACCAAAAACGAAGTTCACTTCCGTCAAGTCACTTCTGACTGTGTTGTTGCTATCTAGTTGGTTCCAACTCATTAAACTGCTGACCTTGCAGTGCAGTGCATTATCCCACAGCGCCACACCACAACCAGGGTATTCAAGACTGTAAATCTTTAGAGAATCAGACAGCATAATCTTTCTCTCATAGAGCAGCTGGTAGGTTTGAACTGCTCACCAGCCCTGGGATTAGCAGCCCAATGTCTAATCCACAATGCAGGCCCAGCCCAAGAGCTAGGCAGTATGGTAGCCACCATCCTGAGGTTGCCAAATAAGACAGGACATCAGTTAACTTTGAATTTCAGATAAACCACAAATGAATGTTTCCTATAAAATTTTAGCATATCGTAAATATTGCATCAGGCATACTTGTATTATTTTTTTCTGATGTTTTGTTTACAAAATTGGGGTCATGTTATATTTTGGGCAGTCATATCCCGAATGGCGGCCCTGTGGCTCAGCGTTTCTTTTCCTGCTGTGTTCCTCTCCAGGCGGGTGCCACGTCCATGTGGGCTTCATGCTGTGGGCTGCTGAATGAAGTCATGGGAACCGGTGCTGTTAGGGGCCAGCAGGCAGGCTTTGCAGGAGGCACCGGTCCATTCCGATTTACACCAAATCCCGATTTCTCCTACCCACCAGCAGCCACGGAAGGGCCCAATATAGTTTGCAAAGCCTGCGGCCTTGCCTTTTCTGTCTTCAGGAAGAAGGTGAGTTGGATGAAATGACATTACATACAGAAGACACCTTTGTCGGGTCTTGATTATAGGCTGTTTTGAATAGCTAATGAACTGTCATTTCTTTTAATAAAAATATCAGAAGTTTGGTCCCATAAATCCTTTCCCATTTAGAAAAGTACTCAGTTGAAGGAATTGTCTTCTGACTGGACAGTGTTCTGTAAGGCAGCTTTTCTCCCAAATCAAATCAGATCTCCCATTTGATTCTTCCAGATGCTTATTTTATTCTGCTATTGTTAAGAATATACACAGCAAAACTAATACGAGCTTACCAGTTCCTCCCTATATCATTCCCTGGCATAGGTGACCTTTTGTAGGGAGTGCAACCTCTCTCACCCTCCTTGTCTGAGCTGTCCCCACCCCCATGAATGTGAAGTCCAAGCTTCTTATCCAACTTTTTGAGTTGTTAGGTGACATCAAGTCGGTACCGACTCATAGTGACCTTATGCACAGCACAATGAAACATTGTCCAATTCTGGGCCAACCTCACTATTGTTGCCACGCTTGAGTCCATCGATGCTGCCACTTGGCCATTCCGTCTCAATTGGAGCTCTTCCTCTTTTTTTTCTGACCCTCCACCTTACCAAACATGATATCCTTCTCCAGCAACTGGTCCCTCCTAATAATATGTCCAAAGTATGAGAGATGAAGTTTGGCCATCTTGGCCTCTAAGGAGCACTCTGGCTGCACTTCTTCCAAAATGGATTTATTGGTTCTTTTGGCAGCCATGGCACTTTCAGTATTCTCCTCCAACTCCGTAACTCAAAGGCATCAATTCTTTTTGAGTGGCTGTTGTCAATTTCATGACTGATTTTTGAAGGAAGAGATTGACTTAATCTGCAGTCTAGTTCAGAGACGCATTAGTGTAACTGGGGTCTCACAGCCTAAACTCGAATGAAAGATTGAGGTTAGAAATCCTGTTTATATGGTCAACATAAAATACTTAGGTTAGCAGTTAACTATTTTCACCAGTAAGTTAGTTGTTTCTTGCAAGACCGTCTTGCAGACTTTGATTGTTGAGTCAATCCTTCTGAAATACTTACTGCAAGAAGTTTTAACGTGTCAGCTCAACTGCATCCTAGTACCCCCCTTCAGCCACGTGGTGGGCTGGCTCTGGCATTGAGGAGGCTCTGGACAGCCGTTAGTGGTCCTCCGTTTTCTTTCATCGACCTTGAGAGGTCAGCTGCCCTTCTCTTTCCCGCTGTCATGTTTTTTCTTCTTCTTCCTTAAAGGGAGATAATTGTTCACCTAGGGAATGGGTTTGTGGTTATACTTTCTGCTCATGTTAGCTCTGTTCAGCTAATTACATGTTTGTATTAGGGGGTGGAAAGGTTTTAATTTATTAACACAGCAGCATGTGTTTTTCTTGAAGTGCTGTATTTGAACTTCCGTGAATCCACACTGCCTCAGCAGTGATTGTTTTACTGTTCCTGGTTTTCCGAGCGCTGAAGGAAAGCGCCTGTGGAACGAGTCCGCGTCCACAGGGGGCTTCAGAATAGAAGAAAATGAATACTTTCATAATAGTTTATCTCTGACGTGCATTAAAATGCTTCTTTGTTGTCTGTTTCTGCAGCACGTATGTTGTGACTGCAAGAAGGATTTTTGCTCTGTTTGTTCCGTCTTACAAGAAAATCTCCGCCGATGTTCTACTTGTCACTTACTGCAAGAGACAGCCTTTCAGCGCCCTCAGTTGATGCGACTGAAGGTGAAGGATCTGCGGCAATATCTACTCCTGAGGAACATACCCATAGACACTTGTCGGGAGAAGGAGGACTTGGTGGACCTGGTGCTGTGCCACCACGGCCTTGGCTCTGAGGACCACATGGACACAAGCAGCCTGAGCTCTGCCAGGTCCCGCACCTCGAGCTTTTTTACACATTCCTTTTTCTCAAACTACACAGCCCCCTCTGCCACCATGTCCTCATTCCAGGGAGACCTTATGGATGGAGATGGGACCTCAGGGCCTGGAGTCTTGGCACAGGTATGAGGGCGTGATGGCTCTGCAGTCACAGCGTGCTTACTCTGCCACAGAGAGGCACGTGTAAACTCAGCGGTCCCACACCCGATGGACGCACACGGGTAGCTCTCTGGTGTGAAGTCTCAGGGTTAGGTGCTAGCTAATGGGTTCAAAAAAAGCTCACAGTTCCTTTGGGATTAGTGTTTCTTGGTTTCCTTATCTTATGAAGCCTAGCATTTACCTTCAGTGACTATTTATTGAACTGTTAAGAGAACCCTAACCAAACCCCGTCCCATCTAGCCCATTCCGAATCATAGCCACCCTGGATAGGGTCTCCTCAGTGGTCAGTCTTTACGGAGCAGATAGCCTCATCTTTCTCCCACAGAGTGGCTGGTGGGTTGAACTACTGATCTGTGGTTACTAGTCCAGTGCTTATCCTACAGTGCTAACAGGGCTCCTAGCTAACATAGCACTTGTTAATATAACACTTGCATTAAAATAAGACAAGCTACTGAAACAGTGACTGAAAAGACAACAGTATACTGTGACCATGAGAACCAGCAGTGTAATTGAAAACTAATGCTCAGTTACCTTACTACAGTCAAACTGCCCTCGTTTAGATTGTGGGAACAACCATCAGGAGGAGTGAAAATGCAGGCTAGTTACTAATGTCTGCTGAGGCCTTGGGTATTCTGACTGAAAGACATACAAAGGCTTGTAATTACTCATTTGTAGCGGAGTAGTTGTGTGGCATTGGACGACGTAGTCAGTTTGAACCACAAAGTCAGTAGTTCAAGCTCACCAGCTGTTCCTTGGATACCCTATACAGGGTTGCTATGCGTCGGAACCGACTTGACGGCACTGAACGCTTCTAAAGGACTGAAAGATTTATTAACAGTTCTTCCACATTTAATTACCTTTTCTAAATAAAAAACCCAAACCAGATGCTATCTTGTCATTTCCAGCTCATGGCGATCCCTTGTGTAAGATAACCTAGTTATCTTCTGTATAACCAAAACCTCGGCAAGTCCACTAGGAAAGTTATATTGTATTCCCAAATGAGAACTGTCCCATCTGTTTTGCCATATACTCAGAAGACACATTTGGGAAGTGGCTCTGGTGTGACAGTGTGGGTGCTGTTGAATCATTGGGGCAGAATATTTGCCATTGAGAACTGACCTAGATCACTGTAGAGCGTGATCACAATAGGAAGGACATGAGAAGGAGGCCCATGACCAAGTCTCAGGAGGAAGATCAAGCTTTTTGCTCCTGTGGAGATTTACCACATCAGAAACCCTATGGAGCCATTCCTTCGCCTCCGTCCTATAGGGTCGCTGGGAGTTGGAACCCTCAGTGGCAGGGAGTTGATAGGTTTTACGCATCGTATAATAGGCTTGAGGTCTTTCCAATCAGATGCCCAGCACACCTGGCTGATGTTAGCCAGCAACAGTGCTTTAGTTTTTTTCTAACTGCATTTCAGGGACTCTAGTCAAACCAGTGCTTGGCAGGTCCTCTGATAACAAGGCAGTGTCATCTCAGGCGTAGACAAGCTGTGGTTTGGCATTCCATGCTGGAACCTTCCTCAGGGTGTTAACACTATGGTTAGGTTATACACATCCACAGATGACTTTTGAGGTAAATCAGGTCTAACTTTACGGAAGGGGCAGCAGCATTTTAGATCCACAGAAAGTGCCAGGTGTTGAGGTCTTCTTGGGGTAAGCATAGGGAAAAGTCTCCTCCCTGGTAAACATGGAGGGACACTGTTGGGAAGAGAATTCTCGTCCTAATCTGAAACACTGTGTGTCTAGGTACAAAGTGAACTAGCTTCAGCAAATACTGAAGAAGATGATGATGACGATGATGACGATGACGACGACGATGATGATGATGATGAAGAAGAAGACAACCTAGAGGATCGGGTGAGACCACCTATAGATCTGGCAGGGAAGGAAGGCGCCTGGGTGGACCTTTAGCTAGATTAGCACAGGCTGTTAGTTCTGGTTTGCATTCAGGACTTGGTAAGAATTAAGGACTGATGAGAATAAAGTCTTGGAAGAGGATCCAAAGCCAGTGACAGACTAGAGTGAGGAGAAGCAGGCCCCTGCCCCAAGAGGTCTGAACCTACAGGAGCAGAGCTAATGGAACCATCTGTGATTTCAGACCCCTGGGCTCTCCAGAAAGAGAGCGAGAGCGTCTTTGTCTGATCTGTCCAGCCTTGAAGACGTTGAAGGGATGAGCGTGCGCCAGCTGAAGGAGATTCTGGCTCGGAATTTTGTCAACTATTCTGGCTGTTGTGAAAAATGGGAGCTGGTAGAGAAAGTAAACAGACTATACAAAGAGAATGAAGAAAACCAAAAGTCATGTAGGTTTCTTTGTTTCCTTTTCCCTCCTATAGGCTTTCCCTCCCTAGGCTTTTCAAAGCTGGCTGTAAATTCTTTAATGATGGTGGTTTGGGGACCACCACTGCAAGTGAGTTGGAGGCTTGGGTCAGGCCGGTTTTTGTGTGTGCCATAATTAACTGTTTGTGAGTACCCTACGACAAACCCTAGTCTTTGGGAAAATGCTTTTCTCGTCAACACCTCTGGTAGGCCAGTGCTTTAGCCATCTCAGTTGTAGCCTTCAAATCCTAACCGGATTGGCAGGCGTGGGGGAGGGATGCCTAGAGCCATGAAGTTAAGTAGTTCTTCTTAGAATCATCAATTACCTCTAGGTAGGTTTCTGAGTAAGTTAGAAAAACAAGTCAAGAACTTGTGTAGTAATCATTGATGAAGTTAGGTACAGAAACCCCCTTCAGCTGGTACGTGGCCAAGTCAAAGTTGTCATGGTCCAGAAAAAACAGTATGTTCAACAAATCATACTTAGATAGTCCTCTCATTGTAACACTTGAGTGATTTTTTTTTTTTAAAGCTGTTGTAATGCAGTTACTTGATGAACAAGTTCATACCCAGAATATATAGAAAATATTTTATCACACCTGTTTTTTAGAACAATGCTGAATATAGGAATCTTAATCCTCAGAGCCCTCAGGCTGGTGGCAAGAAAATGATAGTGTGGCACTGAAGCGCAGACTCATCTAATAAATACAGCTGGACATAGTGCAGTGTGGCTCTTCCCACACTCCCGACCTGCTGACATCTATAATTTCACAAGTGTCTTCCTCTGACTTTGCATCCCCTGGACTCCATGTCCCAGGACTAGTCACGGGCCACGAATTTAAGACTCAATTCCCAGTGGTCCCCTTTGTGATCCATAAAAGAGAAACTTCCATATTCATGGCTTTCTGCAGCTCCAGCCACTTGCTCCTGAGTGCGGAAATGGAGCTCTTAACTCCAGAGGAGAGGAGGTGCCTGAGACTGAGTCTCCCAGGCCACAGCTGGGTCAGACACGGAAATGCCAACAGTGTTTTAATTTCACAGTCCACGTGTGGACAGCCTATGGCTCCCTTTTATTTTTAGACAGAACGCTTTCATTTTTTGTAAGTGACATATCCTGTCATGTACTGTTAAGAGAGTTGCTTCTGACTCACAACCCTATCGCAGAATTCTTACATTACATAGTTTGAGAATTAAAACGGCCACCATTTGCCCACTTCCTCTATGGCACATCTTCACCAAAGCTTATGAGCTGTGGGCATTTCTGAATGCATCTTAAGGGCACTAGTCACACCCGTCCTGTGAAGTTGGAATAGGAGAATTCCTTTTATAAACCAGGGTGCTGGCTTCTTCCAGATGGCGAGCGGCTGCAGCTGCAGGGTGAGGACGACGACAGCTTGTGCCGCATCTGCATGGACGCCGTCATCGACTGCGTCCTGCTCGAGTGTGGCCACATGGTCACCTGCACCAAGTGCGGCAAGCGCATGAACGAGTGTCCCATCTGCCGGCAGTATGTGGTTCGCGCTGTGCACGTGTTCAAGTCCTGAGGCCCCAGGTGCTGCCACGTACAGGAAGGAACTGCAGACAGATTGTTCCGAGGCCACAGCTAGTTTTAGAAGTTGTCTTCACTTATTTGTGTGGCCAAAAAGGTTCCTCTTAAGATGTAATGTCAGTCCATGCCATATGTCCATCTGCTGCTGGACACATAAAGTTGCCTGGGGTCTGTCAAGGTATACCACCCACCCATGGTCCCCAATTCTGGAGGATTGACAGTCTACAGCCTGTCAGGTCCTGCCCTCTATGTCCCTTCATCCCATTTGTAACTTAAATGACTCTGATGTTTGAAAGTTCCGTTCTTGTTCCCACAAGTGGCCTCCACAGTGTGTGATGAGCAGTGGTCTTACTGAATGTCCACCGCAGTATTCATGTATTATTTCAAACACTGATATCTGATGAATGTAACTTTCCATTGTTGCTATTCCTGCATTTAAACGTAATTGACATTCTATAGACAACTTCCAGGGCCTTAGACTGAACACATTCATTTCTGTTCAGGTACAGCTTTTTCTAGCAAGGGCTGCATCTAGCTTCTTTCATTAGAGGAGTGTGTGTGTGTATTCAATTCTTTACTAGTGCGTCATCCGTTTACACGGTTTTGTATAGTGAAAGTGTATTTTCAGTGCTAGCTGCTATCTGACTTTGACTTTAGGAATAAAATTAGATTTTAAAAGACGTGTACGTTTTTGGACACTGTCTTGGTCAGTTGTACTTGGGTTCAGCAACATTGCGTGTCTGCACCTTGGGCTAGGGCTTTGTGTTCAGAGGTGCTCCTGGGAACAGTCGCCACCCACCGATCTATCAGAACCACTGAGCTGACGACTCCTTTTGCTGTGATCTCTCCAGCAGTCCTCACAATAGCACTGAGAGACTGCCTCACTTTGAAGATGAGGGAAGCTGAGCCTAGAGAAGGAATGTGTCTACCAAATCAGTTTTAAAAAATGGCTACATCAGAATTTGAACCTGCTTCATTTTTTTCCCTTAACCCTTTCAAATAGCACACAGTCAGTGAGAATCTTTTGACATTTGCATATGCAAAAAATTACCTAGTCATTAATGAGCTGAACTTTGTTTTTCTGGCCCACAGTGCATGGTGATGGATTCAGTTCCATTGGTGATACTCTGGGAGGCAAGGCTAAACTGCCTAGACCTCCTGTGATTTTATGTCTTGGACTCTGCACTGGGTCATGCCATCAGGTGCTCAGGCATCCACTGGTGCTGGTGGTTATGTGCTGTGGAGTCGGTTCCGACTCAGTAACACTGTACAGGGTTTCCGAGGCTGTAAATCTTTACAGGAGCAGAAAGCCTCATCTTTCTCCACAGAACAGCTGGTAGTTTTGAACTGCTGACCGTGAGGTTAGCAGCCCGACTCGTAACCACGTAAAATCAGGGAAGCGGTCAGTCTGCCCATGTGCGAAGGGCAGAAAACCTGGTTTGATATGAAGAAAAATGTGCCTTTCTCCCTTTTGTTTTTGAGGGTCAAGTCATACACACAGGATTTGCTGGCACTTGAGTGCCCTACCCTCCAAACTCACTAAATTTATAAAAACGCAGCACCTGGTCCTATGTGCCTTGATGGGCGCTTGGTTTGTTTACACCTTCCCTGAGGCAGTCTGAAATGCAATGTTCCCCCCAAAATTACAAATTTAGTGGCAAAAAGTCTTTCCATTTTCCATTTAGGCCAGGAGTGGAAAGTACATATATACTCAAATTCAGCTAACTGCGGGTGCTAGTTTTGTCTAAAATTAAGTGAGAAATTTCAGACTTAATTAGTACAGTTTACAGCTGAAAACCACTTGTTGAATGTTTCCTCCTGGATTTACCTGCGGTCTTAGTTCCTTGTCTTTCTAGAGTACCAAAGCTCTCCATGGTAAAGTGACTGGCTCAGCAGCCTGACTGCCCGGGCCTGCCCTGCCAGGTTCCCTCATGAACCGTGTCCTCACGGTTCATGAGGGAACATAGTGTCATTTCCTTGTGCCTGTCATCAGGAGCAGTGCATCTCCTTGGAAGAACGTATGTCACTAAGGCCTTTGGGTGGCTGCCTTTCAGAGCCACCTCAGACTGTGTGGTGAGGATGGCACTCGTGTGTTCTTAGGCCCAGAGGAGCGCATGGTGTTTCTCCTCTTGGCTCATAAGCAATACTCCACTGGAAACACTCTTGAGGTGTCCGGGCCTTTCTTACGTCATCAGCTACTGGCACGGGCTTAGCGCAGCTGTTGGCAACATCTATTTTAGGCTGTCCTCACTTAAAAGTGCCTTAGCTTTGAAAGAAGATGTTAATGTTGAGAGGCCCCATCTGTCATCCTGCAGCCTCTGAACCTGACTAAAGTGAGGCCATGTCTGGCTCCGATGGTGCCCCCGTTGTAGTTTTCATCCCTACTTGGCAGCATCCTGCTCTTCCTAGCCTCTCTCAGCAGACCTGTGTGCTCCCAGAAGCACCCAGGAGGCAAAATGCCCTGTAACCCCAAACTTGCACCCTTCACCAGTTCCAGCTGGACATCTGTCTACTCCTAACAGACGGTCAGGAAGACAGTTCTCCCGAATGCCACGGTCACTCTTAATGCACTTGCTAAGAAAGCCTGGGACTCTCCTGGACAGCAGAGTTCAGAGACCTGACTGGAGGTTCAAGAACTCTGCTGCCATGAAAAGAAAAACTACCTCCTGTAATGGGTACTCCACGTTGAACGATCAGGTTTGTAGAAGCCAGCCACGTTTTTATAAATCAGTGTATGAACTAATCTGTTAGGTGGAGTTTCTCAGCTACAGTGGGCTGACCGCAGTAGTTTCAAAGGTCTATGTTCACCTGGGGCTGGCCTCTGTCCTACTTTATTAAAACCTTTGGACAAGGGCAACAAAAAGGGATATGGGGCAAATATTAAACTACCATTAGCAGGAACAACTTGGTCCACAGAGACAAGGACTTTTCATTGGTTTCTATGTCCCCCATCTAGAAAGTTCCACATAGTCAAGAGCCTTTCCAGCCACCCCAGCCTGATACCAACTGGCTTGGCACAGGGTGTTTTTTGTAGCGGTGGGAAGACACCCTACCCTATCCTTAAGGGTATCTGGCTCTCAGCCCTACACAAGCCATTGTTAGAGTACAGTTCAGTTCATTGCCTTTATTGGCGCCACAGGCAACGAGGTCTCTTCTACAGAGGGATAAAGAAAATACCTGTTCCAAGGAGCTACTGCATTTCTGCCTCAAAACAATGAATGACTCGGGACTTTTCACTCAGATGTCTAGTCCACTTCTAGAACAAAACCTCCAAGTCCAAGAGTGGTGTTTTTGGATTTTTTGTACAATTGTTTATACAAAGTCAACAAAGGTAAACTGCATCAGGGGAGGTCTGGGAAAACATCACCTTACAACAATGGCACTTATGAATGCATCATGTGACAGTGCGGAAAGGGTCATGTTAGAAACCTTACGAACTCAACTCGCACTGCAGAGGCGAGCACACAGGAAAAGAAAGGCTATACTGGGTCATTTATTAGACTTTTTGACTCCCCATATAAATTAGACCAAGTACCGGAGCTCATGCTAGGGTGGGACCCTCCTGAGTGCAAAGGCTGAAGTTGGAATTTTAAAATGTTGAGCAAAAGGTAAACTCTAAACAGAGAAAACTTGGCAACGGTTCTTACTTCAAATGAATTTACATATTCCCATGCACATGTCACTTCTGGCCGGGTGTCACAAAGTAGGCTCCCAGCCTCCAGTGGAAGAATTCGCTGAAAAGGAAGGTCTAGCCCACTTCATCCAATCCAAACAGGACTGTCGAGGAAGTTCAAGTGAAGTGCTTTCCTACCTTCAGGAAATCAGGAAAATTGGCAATCTCAAAACAATTTAAAAAAACAACACTGTATGCATTCAAACCTTGCATAAATAACTTTTAAACAATTTGTACAAAAATAGTTCTGCATAATGTAAGCTGTAACAAAACAAAACTGTTGAGACGGTGGCAGAGATCTGGGGGTGGGGTGGGGGTGGTCCGCTGTATGATGATGCCAGGAGCCTCGGAGCTGTCAGGAATGAAGTGTCCAAAAACCATACCAAACACCGTCACCAAAGACTCCAAAGCTCATGTAGAAATAGGAAGTTCTCCAGAGCCCTTCCTCCCAGGTGGGAATGTCTTCTTGCTCTAGTAAGCAGTGCAGTCATGGTTCAGAAAAACTAAAGGAAAGGTCCACCTCACTCATTCCACACACAGCTGGAGTGACAGCTTTTTCCTTGGCAAGAGTTCAGTGGTCTATTCTTCCAAGTTCCAAATTGAAAATGAAATCCCTTGGGTTTTTTCTTTGAATTTGGGAGTCTCTCCCCTCACCCAGCCCCACTCCCTTCAGTATTTACACACTTGATCTCCGACTAACTTAGTTTTTGCAGGAGTTTTTCTTCCACTTGCCCAAACTGGACGCTCACAGACATTTCCGCTATGAACTGCTCACAGCCTTCCTTGGTGACTTGCTTGCAGTACCTTAGGTCAATGTGACAGATATTCCCGCAGCGTTTGAAGAAGGACAGGCACTGGTCAGTGACCTTATTGCAGTCTGCAGGGACGAGGAAACAGTGTGCGGTCAGACAGTGCAGAGCCCAACAGCGTCCAAATCCCAGGTGCTCTGCAGAAAGCATCCAAGCCCCAGGTAACCCTCAGGACAACTGGGGCATGGGGTGCTTTCACTGACTACTCACAAAAGTTTAGATATATCTAGAATGCATTCAGACTGCGGCAACTGAAAACGTCATGTTCTACGTATGTATGGATCCTTTAAATCGGTCCCCCTGCCAATGTTTATTTTTAAAAGAAAGAAAGGTTCCAGGGTATGTGATTAAATAGCTTGCTTTTCCATTTGATACACCTGCCGATGCACCTTGTATGTGCATCACTGTTCACTTAAGATGCTTATTCCTGCAGCTAAATCCCCCAAACTCATTTATGCCTATTGTATCTACCTGAACCCTAAGAAGAACAGCAGTGTATACCAACCACAAACCTCTCCAGCGGCCCCTCCCCCTTGGGCTTGGGTGCACTGTACAGAACTGAAGTCAGTATACTGCCTGACTTGCTAAAATTAGCATCCAACTAAGACTGGAGTCCTTGCTGTGGGCAGAGTCAGTCATTTCTAGTTAATTGACCTGAAGTGCAGGGTCTTTGCAGATCACCACGGGTATCAGGATCTCAGTTTTTGCGAAATGGAGCTGGACTAGAAAACCGAGGGCACACCATAATAGTGCTAAGTGGCCTGTGTGCTCTCAGTGCCTGGATCTCAGTCACAATAAACTGGCTGCTTTTTGTCAAATGAGCCACCTTCTCAGATCTGCATCCATTCTTGGATGTACATTTCAGACCATGAAAACATAATACAGTCTCATAATGGCAGCAGGATTTCAAAAATGTGGAAAAAGTAATGGTGGGAAACTGAGTAACACCACAACCACTGACCAACAATTCTCAGGAGAGAGGAAAGGGCAAGGATGAAGACAAAACAAATGCTTCAATAGACAAAACATCAAAACTAAAGAATAAAAAGAAAACACATCCTACAACTTTAACAAAAGACAAAACAACTCAAATTACAGAAACTTTGGAACAGACATTTCATCAAAGAAGAAATACAAATGTCCAAGCATATGAAAACATGCTTAAATCACTGGTCACTACCTAAACTGACTCAGTGACCCTTATAGTGGGTTTCCAAGATGAAATCTTTACAGGAGTAGACAGCCTCATGTATCTCCCAGGGATTTGCTTGTGGGTTTGAACCACCAACCTTGTGGGTAGCAATCCAATGCTTACCTTACAGTGCCACCAGGAATCCTCATTGGTCACTGATCATTAGGAAGAGGAAATCAAAACTACAGTAAGATTCCACCTCATCCCCAATACCCCTACCCTCAATCACTGCCTTCAAGTTGATTTGAACTCACAGTGACCCTGTACAGGGTTTCTGAGGCTATAAATGTTGACAGGAGCAGAAAGCCCTATCTTCCACAGAGCAGTTGGTGGGTTTGAACTGCTCTGTGGAAGATAGTGCTTATCCTACAGCCACCTGGGCTCCTTGTCACCCTGTTGTTCTTGTTTATTAGGAGAGTTAATACTGCCGATGTGAGGAAACTGGAACCCTCATCCACTGCTGTAAGAATGTACAAAGGTACAGCTGTGGAGAAAAATTGTTGGGTGGTTCCTCAAAAAATTAAACATAGAATTTTTTATGATCCAGCAATGCTACTCATAAGCATATATGGAAAAGTAGTAAAATCAGTAATGCGAATGGAAACTTGTACGCCAATGTTCATTGAGCAGAATATGTAACAACCAAAAGATGGAAACAATCTATATGTTCATCAATAAATGAATGGATAAGCAAAATGTGGTCTATTCATACAATGGAATACTGCACAGATACAAAAAGAGCTGTAGTTCTGATACATGCTGCCAAGTTACAACAGGACAAACATTGTATGATCCCACTTAATGTGAAATACCTGCAACAGGCAAACAAATAGAGACTCAAATGTATTAGTGACTCTCAGGGACGGGAGTGCGGGGGCAGGAGGGAGTCTCAGCTTAGAGGCAGCTGAGTTTCTGTTAAGGGAGATGGAGAAGCCTGGAAACACAGTGCTGATGACTGCACACGATGCACACAATGTCAATGAATCATGTCAGTAAAAACGATTGGAATTGTAAATGTTATGTAAATTTTTACCATAATTAAAAAAACTGAAAGATGACAAATCAGGCTTTCCAAAGGCATCCCGGAATCTATCTAATCCCTCAATTAATTTCCCTCAAATGGCTGGCTCTTTATAATACTACTGCAGACAAATGAAGATGCTCTATAATGCCATGGCTTCATTCGTTCAGAAAAGGCATGCCCTCCAAATTTAACACTTGATTCATTCTAAGTTCAAACACATTAGGAATTTTGTCAATATGTAGTCACATACACTTACTTCCATGGCTGGCTGTTTCATGTTTCCCTCTTCACTGTGCCATTTGGGACCATATTTTGGACAGGCCTTTTCCTGATTATCAATTACCCTTGGTTAAAGCCACTGATCCTCACATGGCTTCTTCTGAAATCCCCACACTGCCTGCCTGTCAGACCACAGTAGTCACGTGACAGACACACTGTAGGCCGGCAGACCACTGGGCACAGTTGGGTGTGTCCATCAGGGATGGGAGAGCCTGCACGTGGCATGGGCAGTTACGGGGTTCAAGTGACCAGGTTTCGGGGAAATGTAATGTTAAAAAGTGGAAAACTGTCTCATAGGCCCAGGGACAAGGGACTCTCCAAAGGAAAAGGCCCCCTTTTTATTGGCTTCCTTGATGCTAAAGTCTTTGGGCTCCAGTTCTAGGTACCTTTGAACCAAGAGCCACAGAGAACTCTGGCTGGGCACAAAGTGAGTCCTCAGAAGTAGGCGTGTGAGGGGCCTTTGACCCAAGCTGCCTGCCTACAACAACCCTGCTGGGTGAGGTCTGGCTAAGCAGTGACAGGCAGCACCAGACGCTAGCATTTCTCCTAGAGATGACCTTAGCACATCACCCGGCCACGCTGTCACAGAGCTTCATCTTCCTGACAAGGGGATGTGGGCAGCGAAGCACTGACTGACCTCCTGTGAAGACTACTGACCCTGACTGAGGGACAGACCACACAGGGAGAAGAGACACAGAAGTGCCCCCAACAGTCTCGAGTGAGAGCCTCCCCACACACAAGAGACAATGAGAGGCAGCAGTACAAACTCCAAGAACAAGATATAACTTGTATAATCAAAATATTAGGTTAGGTCACATGAAGACAACAACATTGGACAATTTCTGACAGACACCACAAGTTGTTATGGTTTGACCTATGAGAGCAGAAATGATAACATTACTCTATGTGTGGGCTGATAAAGACAGCAGAAAACTCACAACACAGCAAAAGACACCTCTGTGGAACACAGAAGAGGAGAAACCAAATGGAGAAGCAATGGAAACGTAATTTCCTAAGAAGTCCTTAGAACTGAAGGACATGCATTCTAGGCTCAAAGGGCTCATGTGAGCACTTGGCACGATGGAAACAACATGGACTCTCCCAAGGCTCCTCACTGAAAGTCTCAAACACTCAGAGCCAAAGAAAACGTCCTTCTAACATCCTAAGAGCAAGTCGATTTACTGAAGGATGAAGAACCAAATGGCCTTTGACTGGAAGGCAGCACACTTTGGAGGCAATGCTTCCCAATTTCTGAAGAAACGTTCCTCACTAGAACTCTACACTAGCAATTCCATGTGTGGTATAATTAACACATGTTCAGACATACAAGGTTAAGATGTCACCCACTACAAGAGAGGATCCCCACAAGCCAGGTGAAGGGAATTCCTTGGATGGCAGATGGGGGCAGGATTCCAGAAGGAATATAGAGAAGCAGCCAAGAAGGAGATGTCCTATAAGAATTCCCTGGAGACCTGAGTTTAGGGTGTGGGGGTGAGGAAGTCGGATTCAATTCTGTTGCTCAAAAAACCAAACAAGCAAAAGTGAAGCAACTGTACACTTTAGGAAACAAAAAATAAAGTTGTGCCAGAAAGGAAAAGTAATCCTAGTCTCATGCAGTATTTGGCTCAATAAAGAACATAATACGTTAACAGTGACTTAACCAAAAAGTCTGACAAAATTAAAACTGGAAAGACAAAGAAAAAGGGGGAGCTGGGGTTGTTAAGCACATTCCATCCTTATGGTCTGTAATACAAAGTCAATAAATAGCATGTTAATTATGTCTAAACAGAAGAAAGGAAGAAAAACAGCTTAGGCCTGCTATTTGGAAATTGGAGGAAAGCACTTGTGAGTGTAAAGTAGTTGCCTCAGGGGGTGAAAACTGTGGGGAAACAGATACCCAAAAAATATTTCTAAAATGACATTCAGGCCAAACAACAAAAAGAGACAACCGCGACTTCACTTTGTGACTAGCCCATATCTTTTAACAAAGTTCATGTTCCTGAAACGTGTTTGACTTTCATCCACCTTGTACACACTTACCAGACTTACACTGATGGGAGGCAGGGAAAAGAGAAATCTAAGGGACGGGATATAGCTAGACCCCCAATGTACTTCACACTCTTAGAGAAAAACAGTACAAGCATACTCACATCACACACACTAGCTCTACCTCATAGGCTGCACTGGGGAAGGGGACGAGTGCTGGTATCTCAGCAATAGCCACTAAAAGACTAAATTCAGACAAAATCCTAAAATGTCTACTCAGTGTTCTCCAAAGAGGACAAGGCCACTTAATTCAAGACTACTAGGGCCTTGGGCAGCCCCTGCCACCAAGAATTCAGGAGAGAGAGGGAGCTTCCTAGGAAGCTGGCTACAGAATGCCCTCCTATCAGCAAAATGTCCCATGAGCAAAGGAATGGCTGGCAAGACTGTGTTAACCGGACATGAACATCGGCTTCAAAAACTGGCAAATGAGTAAATCTGTGACCCTGATGAAGCACATCATGACTCCACTGTGTCAAGATATAGTTAAGTTAGCTGAGGATGTCTGTCCTTTATTACTTGGTAGATTATGCAAACAAAACAAAATCTATCAAAATCTCATATATCCACTCCAGAGCAACCTAAATTGGCATACCAGAGTCAGGTGAGCCTCTGCCCCTCGCCACCACACACTGTCTCAAGTTCCTCGTGCCCCCTCTAGTTCCTCAGCTAGCGGTGGGTGTTGCAAACACAAAGCAATGATGGAATGAACAGTGATTACATTCTCTCTCCGAGGGCAACCCCCACGAATGCAAAACCTAGAGGCGCAGGCCTAAGCTACAAGAGCAAAGGCTAAAGCCATGTTGTTCAAGCTGCACCAGCTGGCCTTGCACCCCCGCCCCTCCTATCCCCATAGCCACCTCATTTTGGGTCAGGAGCGAGGTTTTGTGCTTTCATGCTGCCAGCATTACTTTCTGAACAGTCATTACAAATCTGACAATAGCTTCTAACTTGTCCAACTTTGAAAAGGCAATGTGGTTTACCCTAGCATTGAACCCTGCTCAGTTCTCAACAATTGAAAAACTCCCATCTGCCCCCCACGGTACTGGGGCAACCAGGCAAGCAGACCCCACTCACTTGACAGCTTGATTTCCGTTAATGAGTCTCGGGTGGTGGTGCCCACAGCGGTGAGCAGGTTGATGGACTGGTCGGTGACATGGTTACAGTAACTCAGGTGGAGCCTGGAGAGCAGGGGCATGTGGCGGATGATGAGCCGCAGAGAGGCGTCTGTGATGTCCAGGCCCGCAAGGCGCAGCTCCATGATGTTCCGGAGCTTGCTGCGATTGTCCATCTGACCTGGTGGAACAGGACAGGGAGTGGCGTGGGGAGAGGGACATGACCCTCAAAGGGCTGACTAGACAGACATAACATTTGAATTCATTGTGCCATTAGTGTTCTCTAGAAATCTGAATTTGTTCTAACGTTCAAACATCAAGGATGTTTTGCTTTCCCAAGTCTCTTGAGTGGTGTAGCAGTGAACATGTTCACTGCTACACCACTCAGAGGTGCCTCCAAAGAAAGGCCTGGAGATATATTTCTTAAAGGTTAGAGCCACTGAAGACCTTACAGAGCACAGCTAGCTCTTACTCGGACACACCTGGGGTCACCAGGCGTTAAGAGTCAACACAACTGTAATTAGTAGAGTTCTCTAGAAAAATCCAAAGTAAGAAACACTGAGCATGTATTCCAGCTGGTGAAGGTCCAGTGTTATGGGTATACTCCCACTTGCTCACTGGAGCTGCTGGTGAGGAAAGAGAGTTATGGCAATTTAACCTAGGAGGGCTTTGTCACCCCATGGGTCTCGTCCAGCCAGGCTGACCTCAGTGCACCCAGAGCCTCAGAGCCAGCAGAAGGCAGGTTGACAAAGTATCTAGTGCAGGCAGAACCTCCAGTAGTGGATCCTGGAGCAGTCTAAGGAGCCTGTGCTCTCTCCGAATGCATCCCCTAAGCACGAGGCTAACAGAATAGAACAGCTGTTTGGAGAAGGGATTGAGCCAGGATTTCCAGGCCAGGGGAGGTATGAAGATGCATGTACCAAGAGACTGTGGTAAGACTGAAGCATACCACTGGCCTGCATGCCCCCAGGGCCTGGCCTGGCAACTCACCTGGCCTGTTATCTGTGGGAGGGGACAGGAGATCCCGCATCTGCGCATCCTTTAGGCCTTCTACCCACTGGACATCCAAGGTGCGGAGCAGAGGGCAGCTGGAGCTGCAGAGGGCCGAGACTGCAATCCACGAACAGCCAGACAGCACCAGGTCTCGGAGCCCTGGGGGTGGGAGGAGACGACAGGTCCGGCACTGACCCAGAAGGGCCTCACCCTTGCATGGCTTGTTGAGGTCTGACCCAGGGCTTACCAGGAAGCCGGTTGATGAGCCAACTCAGCTGCTTCTTGGAGATGTTGGTCCAGCTGAGGTCCAGGGAGATGGGCTGCCGCCGGATGATGCCGCTCAGCATCAAGGGAGTGATGGACTTGCAGTAGTTCAGGTTGATGCGGGTCCACAACCGCTTATCACAGCACCTGGGCCACATGGCCAGAGGGGACTGTCAGAAATCCCCGCCACACCCCCAAGCAGCACCTCTCCCTCACCCACCAAGCTCCATCCTCCAGGCCCCTCTCTGGCACCAAAGACTGCCATGGAGGCAGTAGCAAAGTCAATGTGCTATACTGCAAAACCATCCCGGAGGTAGATCACCTCCTGCTTAAAGATGAAGTTGACAGGTTGTGTCTACTGTGGCTACAGGAGTGACACTTGGGGGAGACCCGTACCACATGGTCTAAAAGTCTTGAACTCAGAGCCCCGAGCTGGGCCAACCCACGTACTCACCAGCGGTTCCAGGTCCTGCAGACCCGCATGCAGACACACAGGTCTGGGTGGCTGAGGTAGCTGAAGACGGCCATCCACACCTCCCTGTGCATGACATGGGCTGCTCCATCATCCAGGGGAAGCGAGTCGGGCGGGGGGCTGATGGGAGGCGGCCGGATGACATGCCGCTCCATCTGGATGCACTTAGGCGGGGAAACAGAGGGCGGGGGTCGGGAGATAACTCGTGGAGGGCTTCGCAGGCCGGGGCCCAGCTGGTGGCGCAGCTCACGAGGGGTGCCATTGAGGCCCTTGCTGAAGCGGTGGGGGCGCTCGCAGAAGCCCAGGGGCCGCTTGGGCTCCTCATTCTCACTCTCAGGCTCCGACTTGATGGGCTGGTGGTTCTCATTGGCCAGGCTATTCTCCGTTTTCTGGATCTCTTGGTTGAGCTCCTTGCTTAGCTCTTTGCTCAGCTCCTTGTTGGGAAGGCGCCGTTTCCGGCGCATTTTCACCTTCTTCTTCTCCTCAGGGCCTTCAGCGCCCTCAGTGCTAGGCCCAGCTGTGGGTGAGCTAGAGCGTGAGTGGTCGCTTTCCCTGGATTTGGGGGGTGCCTCAGGCAGGTCATCTTCCGGCTCCTGCTTGAAGCGTCGAAGGGGCTTGTTGGCCAGAGCCATCCGATCCTCCGCGTTCTTCCAGGATCGCCGCTGAGGGGAAGGAGAGACAAGGTAAACCCTTCAGGCAGGACTGTGCCCACTCAGGGCCTCCTGACCCTCTGCCACAGGACCCAGGGCAGGGAGGGGGAGACAGTACCTTTTTCCTGAAAAGTTTATCTTCTTTGCCAGGTTTTAGCTGTCACAGGGAAGAAAAGAAGTCGAGCTTGCTCCCAGAGTTCATGGAGTGTGGTCCCTTCAACCCACACCCACCATGAGTCCACAGTCTCCAGAGCCCCTTCTCCTTCACATCTGACTGACAGATGGTGGAGGGGGCTGCCTGCTGGTTTCAAGGAGGAAGCTGGTTGAACCGGTCCCCCACCCTCCTGACCTCCCGCCCAAGCAGACCCAGAGATTGGGAGTCTCCCCATTCCATTGCACTTGCCTCTGGAGCCGGTTTCCCAGGCTCCAGGCATTCCCAGCCAAACCTTAATGTCTATACAGGAGAAGAAACTCCAGACGCCACCTAGTGGCAGATGATAGTAAGGACTGGGGAGGGAAGAGCAGGGAGGGCCAGGTGGTGAGGGGCCAAGAAGACAGGGCCTCCCTCCCACAGGCAGCTTCAGCTTCGGATCCCATCAACCCAGCACCCTTTACAGAGAGCTTCCCAGGCCTCATGCCAGAAGCAGCCTCCAGGCCTGCAGCCTGGGAGCCCTCGGCAAACAGGTGCCATAAGGGGTTCTTGGCCCACTGAGGAGGGCATATAGCTGGGGACTCGCAAGTCCCCAGGGCTCGGGTGGGTGGGGCGTGTGGGAGCACCTGCTGCTGGAAGTAAGTGAGACTGGATCTCCACCAGGGGCTGAGGCTGCTGCCTAGAGGGGGCCTCGGCGGAAGGTGAGAGGAGGAACCGGGGGACGTTGGAAGCGTCGAGGCCTAAAGGGGGTGGGAAGAGGAGTGACTCGCTGATTGTTCCCTCCTGTCACCTGGACTGGGGTCTCAGGACTTATGTAACCTGCTCGGGGCAACACGAGGCCAGGATCCCAAGTTCTGCCCACTGCCGCCCCTGCCACCACCCTGTACACCCAGGATCAGCAAGGCTACCCTCTTCCCACCAGGCCTTTCCTACTCCGTACTCGCTTGCGTCCACTCAGTTCCTGAGGCTTCTCATATTTCCGCTTCCTCCTCAGGTGCACGTCATCAGACTTTCGGCGCAGGATGCCATCTGAGGGCACCTTTTTGGGGTGCTCGTCTGATCTGCGCCTGGGCACCTCCTCACACTCGCTCCTCCGCTTGGCAGGCTCCTGCCCTTCCTTGTTGTCCCGGTTCATCTTCTGCTCCTTGAGCAGGGAGCCGGGCAGGTTTGAGGCATACTTGAAGCCAGGACCACGCTTTTGCTTGTAGGCCAAAAAGAGAGAAGGAACAAACCAACTGTATATCTTTGGACCTGCCCTGTCCCCCAACCCCAGCCCCAAGTCTGCCGTTCCCACCAACCCAACAGTCCGCCTCCCCACTGACCCCAAGTCCTGGAACCCGGCACTCACTTTCCCGGTCTTGCCAGCATGGTTACACTTGGGACACTCCCAGCAGTTTGGAAGCTCATCATTGACCACACCCTCTGACTCCTTAATCTGTAAAGGACACACAGGAGTCAGCAGCCTGGAGAGGAGCCCAGGCTTCAGAGGAACGTGGGTCTATGTGAGGCCTGCTGGCCAGAAACAGAAACCCTCTCCCAAATGCCATTCTCACCCCACTGTTGACCCAAAGAAAAAAATGCCCAAGCAGAGTAAGATGAGGGTAATACCACTCTACAATCCTGGGCACTTCGCTCGCAAGGGCTTTGAGAAGACAGAGATCAATCACATAGCACACTGTTCAGTCAGATGTGGGGCTCACTATGGGCACACCCACCCTGACTCTGTGGACCCTGACTCTTTGGACCTGCCCTGTCCAGGTTCCAACATCGGGACAATGGTCAGGTGCCACACTGAATTCCTAGGGCAGAATGCCCAGTGTGCGGGGGTCTCATCCCCAGAAGGGGAAGAAGGGAGCCCTGCCTTGAGAACACTAAAGTTCCCAGCATAAGGAACAGACTCCCCGTCACCTGTCATTACAGGTCCCGCCCTCCCCTGATCCTGTTCTCCTAGAAGCTCCAGACACAGACAGGATACTTGTGAACAGTCTCTCGCTGGCCCAGGTGTCAAGGGCAAGTCACACAAGTAGGGATCCTGGAACTCACAAGCTGCCAGCAGTCTCCAGGGAGGGAACCAACAACCCTTGCCCAGCATCAGCATCACCAGAGAGAGGCCCAGGGGTGGGGTGAGGAACAGCACAGCCAGACCCCCCAGGGCCCCTCACCTTAAGGCATCCGGGGTGGATGATTTCATTGCAGATGGAGCACTCCATGAGCATGAGGTTAAACTTGCCTTCCTCCTCCTCTACTGTGTCTTCCTTCCCAGCCTCGCCACATACTAGGCAAACGGCGGTGTGGGGCAGCACAGGCTAGAGGGGCGGAACGGGGGGAGGGGGGCAGAGTCAGCAGGGGCCAGTGGCTCTCCTCAGGCCCACCAGGGGATCCCAGAGGAATGACCAAGGGACTGCACGTCCAGACATCTACTCATTCTTCCTTTCACGTCCTTCCTGGGCTATACCTGTGTGTGCCAGGTGCTTGGTGTACAGCCACGAATTAGTCACACCCAACTCTTTCCTGTTCTGAGTGTACACTTTGGTGGAGGGAGACAGATAATTGAACATTAGCACCCAGACTACTGGTATCAGACCACTGTATATGGGACGGCAATAAGGGATTTGGAGAGTCTCCCTCAGGTGACGTGGACAGAAGCAGGATGTGAGAGGGCTCAGGTCCAGGTAGGATGAGACTATATCCCAGAGAAGACCCTCAAACCAGCAGGTGTAGTTGTGTGGTCCATGGGCCCTCCTTTTCAAGGAAGTCTGAGAGGTCAAAACAATCTCCAGAATGTTACACGAAAACAACCTTTGCCTTTTTCACCAGGCACCTCAGCACCAACCCAGGCTGTGGCATCAAAGTGAGCAGCTGCCTCTGGATGCGAGTTTAAGATTGTGTCTGATTAAACAGCAAAAATGACCAAGTTTATTAAACTCTCAACCCTTGAGGGGCACATCCTTTTGCCATTCTGTGTGTGTCAAAGATTTCTGAAGAACGACAGGAAAGCACTGCAGTGATCAGTCATGAGCCAGTCAATATCTTCAAAGAACATGATTTTTACTTGGAAGAATGACAGACAAAAAACGAGAGACAGTTATGTGTTCTATCATGTGACCCAGCAACTCCACTCCTAGGTATGTACCTAAAAGAACTGAAAGCAGGAACTCAAACTGATACTTGTACACTAACGTTCACAGCAGTACTGCTCACAAAAGCCAAGGATCAGCCAACACATGAATGCGGTCAACAAAGTGTGACACACACACACAATGGGATAGTACTTCAGTCATAAACAGAAATGAAGCTGTATGACCTGCTGCCACATGGATAACCCTTGACAACATGGTTGAGTGAAAGAAGTCAGACATAAAAAGATAAAATATCTTATGATTTCACTTACAGAAAATATCTAGAATAGGCAAATGCATAGAGACCACAGTTTTCAGGAGTTACAAGAGGCAGGCAGGGAAAATCGGGAGGTATTATAGGTACTGAGTTTCTGATGGTTGTATAACCTAGTGAGCAGGAGTAACTTCACTGAATTGTGCATATGGTTAAAACTGCAAATGTTTTATTATATATACTTCAACACAATGAAATATTTTTTTAGTTTAAGCTCCATAAGGAAAAAAGAAAAAGACCTTAGTTATGGAGATTTGAGTATTTGGCAGAAATTTCCTCAGACAAAAGAAATGAACCTTTTACTTCTAAAAAACTGACAGCATTTGTTGCAAAAGGGGATTAGAATTTTGAGACATTTGTATTAGCCATTACAAGCTTAACTTCCCAATACTTACTTTTCTAACAAGACTGGTAAAGATATTAAAATGAGATTTAAATATATATAAAATATTTGAAATACTAATATTTGGAAAAATTTGCATAATTTATCTAAGTCAACACACCCATTCCTCACCCATCCACATGATTAGATTCCAAAGACCAAGTCCTTAAGAAAAAAATCAGCATTCATTTAAAAATGGAGATTAGTCACATCAAATCACAAAATAAGACAACATATCACTACATAACTGCCAAACTGCTGAGAACCGGGCCCAGCAAGCTGACATATAAGCAAGCCTTCACCCTCACAGCTGGAGCGACTCAATGAGCACCTGGACATCAATAATGCACAAAATACTTGGATAGATTTATTTACTATTTATTTTAAGTGCAAAACCTCAGGCAACAAGATAGTAGATAAGTGGGGAGTAGGTGTATTTTCCAAATGACCAATGCATAATGTTACAAAATCAACTATAAATCCAAGAGAAGAATGGATTTTAATGTAACAAAGTATAGAAAATTCACTGATACAGTTTCAGATTCTACACTGCAATTAACCTTTAAGAAACTGCCACCTGATGAATTCTAGTAGAGGATCAAAGAATAGCTACAGTTATCTCCAAAGGCTATTAAAACACTCCTCCTTTTCCCAACTATATGAGGGAGTTCCAAGAGAAACTTCTGGAGACAGACAACTGAATGTCACAAGGAATCTTAGATGAGATCCTGAGGCAGAAGAAAGGGTACTCAGGACAAACTAAGGAAATCTGAACAAAGTATGGGCCTCAGTCAATAACCATGTTCCTTAAGGAGTCCTGGTATGGCACTGCAGTATAATGTGCAGTTCAAAGCCACCAAGCGCTCCTCAGAAACCCTATACAACAAGGTCACTATGGGCCAGAATCGACTCATTGGCACTTAACAATAACTAATTGGTTCCTTAAGGAGCCCTGGTGGTACTGCTGGTCAAGGGTTGGGCTGCTAACCAAAAGATTGGTAGTTCAAGCCCACCAGTCACTTGAGAGAGAGAGATATGAGTCATTCTTCTGCATTTGTAAAGACTACAGCCTTGGGAACCCTAGGGAGCAGTTCTACTCTGTCCTACAGTGTCGCTGTGAGTCATATTTGGCTTGATGGCAATGGGATTGGTTTGGTAATTGATTCATTCATTGTAGAAACTATACCATGCTAATGTCTCATGTTACCAAGGTAGTATGTTATTAGTGTGTCATGTTAGAAATACGATATTACTAGTGGGAAACGTTGAGTGCAGACTATATGGAAAATACCATTACTTTTATTTTTCTGTAAATCAAAAAAAATTTCTTAAAAAATAAAGAGACAGAGGGCCTAGAAAACGACTAGAGGAGGGCTTGGGTATGTCATAGGTAGATAAACATGGAAGGAAGTAGCCCAATCAAATACGAGGAGGGTGGGCAATGCCTATGTTTGGAAGCCACAGCAGTCTGGGGAGAGGAAGTCCACAGGAGAGCGAGCTTTCCTCATCGTTATACACTGCACCCAGCGAGCAACAAAGACAAACGTGAGATGGTGAGAGCAGATGCCTAGGATAGCAGGCCAGGAGAGACAACACAGGAAGACCAGCCAGGCCATCGTTAGTATCCCACACTTAGAACAGTGAGGGTTTGACCTGGCAGAGGGACCTGTGGAAGTCGCAAGGCTCTGGGAGAGGAACCTGGAATGGGTGTGGGGGGCAAGGAGGACAAAGAGCAAGTCACTAAGTTTTGAGCAAGACTGTCCTCTGAACCACCAGGCCCAAATGACTACTTCTTAAATCCTGACCAAATCCAACAATTACTCAGCCTCTCAAAAACCCGCACACATGCACACAGACAATCACCGATAGAACACTAGGGAGCACACACACTCCCAGCAATGCATGCCAATGGCGTGGGGCACAGACACCAACTGAAAACCCAAGGAGTGTGTGTGTGTGTGTGTGTATGAGATATGAGAAAAGGATTCTGACTTGGGGTGTGGCAGCAGGACAAAGAACAGCCTCTCGGCTGGTGCTGTAGGGGAACTGTGGGAGCTGAAGAGACCTGCTCCTCCTGCCAGGCCTGCTTGTCCAGGGAGCAGCACCCCAGACAAAGTGTGTGGGTGGGACTCAAAGTCCTGAGTAGCGGGGACTCATGGGTAAACCAAGGACCATTTCATGCTGCCAAAGCCTGTGGCCTCGACCCTCTCTGAGAGCAAGGCCACTACACTGTCCCCAGCGGGAGCGGACATGGGTTGGAGGGGCTAGGACACACCATAAATCACCCTAGCTCCTCTGGGAAGCCTTCGGGGGCCCTGACCTTCTACCCGGACCTCTGACTTTGAAGACAGGACAGGAAGGAAGAGAGGGCTCCAATTTAATGTTGGCAACAGGGTCACAGACAGGACAGGCTGCCTGGCATCATTAATGGCACAGACTTCAAAGTATGTGGCCATCTCCAAAAGAAACGAGTTCAGAGACCAGAGACCAGGGGGCTGTGAAGGAGGAGGAGCCTGCACTGACGGGGCTGCTTGAGTGGGACCAGGAGCAGCCCTAGATGGACCACAGTCTGAGTTTTCTCTGTGAGGGCTAACAACCAGGCAACCTGGTGCCTGCAATCCAAGGGGCTTCAGCTTCCACTGTGTGTATATGGGGAGTTTTCCTCATTGCACACTCACCGCAATGCACTGTCGCATGATGCAGCTCTGCTTCATCCGCCCAGGGCCCCCAAACTTCTTCATGTCCTTGCAGAAGTGGCACTCGCCGCACTCCGTCCGCAGGCAGGCCTCGCACTTGCGGCATCGCGTCCGGCGCCGGCGAGCTCCCGCCGTGGTACGGTTGGCAGCCAACTTCACTGCGGAGGCCGGGCCCAGCTTCCCCTTGGGCCGACCCACCGCCCGGTTCTACAAGAGGACAGACAGGCCTGGTGAAACCCCATCCAAGGGCATCAGGTTCTGACCACAATGCAGTCTTCCTATGTCCCCCCACCACAAGCTGGCTTTTATCTAACTCCCTCTGTATGAGAACGCCAACCCCTTCCACATCACCAGGCCAAGACCTCAAGGCTCACTAGGTTTTCTTATGAAGCCCCCAAGGGTCCATCGCAGCATATCAGTCAGAATCGTCGGCTCTCTCCTTTCTCTTCCCTGATATGGGCACCCAGGAGAGCAGGGACCAACACATCACTAGATGATTGCCGGACACAATACACATTTGGGATATCACCACACCCCGGGATTTCTGAGACCATCCCTAACTGGGCTCCAAACTCAGTGATTCAGGAGAAGAGTACCAAGTAGATGAATCAAAACTCAAGACTAGCTGCCACAGAGTCAATTCCACCTCACACTGAGCCCGTGTGTTTTCTTGGCTATGTTTATGGAAGCAGACTCTCATGTGAGTCTTTCTTTTGCAATAATGCTGGGTAGGTTTGAAGCACCCACCTTTAGGTTAGTAGTCAAACACAAACCACCGACGCCTTCTAAGGACTTAGATAAACAAAGTGGTGCTAAATCATATACAGAGTCTGACACAGCACAGTCCCTGCCGCTGTGACCTCTACATCCTGGCCACCAGCCTGAGCCTCCTGCATACCTATGATCCATGGTGGAGCACCTAGGCTGATTAAAGGAGGACCACTCCCCCTGGCTCCCACGCCCCTAAGATCTGAAATGGAAAACCAGATGGCAGGGTTCATCTTGTTGGAAATAACTTTTCTGAAATTTGTTGATTAGCCTCTGTGTTGGGGAAACACACTGCTGATCCAAAATGATCAAACCTACCTGGCATCTAAGGCTTAGAGTTCCTTTTCAGCTTACTAGACAACCATAGTCACAATCTTTCCATGGTTGCACTTGCACTTGGCTCCCCAAACAAAATCCCACAGCACCCCCTTTTGATAGTGCATGAGTCCAAAAATACTGTTACCATGCCCCAAACCAGTGGAGAGGGTCCTTCTATTGGTCCTCTCTCCCACAACACACACCCTGCAACGTCTCAACACTACAGGCAAGAAAAACCACCCATCTCCCCAATTAAAGACTTATCCTCATCATTTTTCTCTGAAGCGTGGTAGACCCTGTAGAGAGCCTGTCCCCACTAGAGATGACACAAAAGCTGATTCTTCCCTGGGGTTCACGTTCCTCACAGCCTGCCACCGATGGTGAGGTCCGGAGTGCCCGCCTCAGAGGCACTGCTCCTCTGTACGCCAAAGAGGAAAGGAGACGCTGGACCTGGCTCTTCTGACCTGTGTGTCCTTGTGTCCTCCGCCCCAGCTGGGCCTCTCCCACCGAGGTACTCCAGACCCCTCAGTCATGTCCATGGCTGAAGGGCTGCCCATGGGTACACAGGCACACAGAGCAGATGCTTCAGAAAAGGGGGCCACTCTAAATTCCAGTTACTTTCTATTCAAGCAGGACAGAGTCTCAAACTGGTCCTTCCACACATCCCAGTAAAGCCTGGGGCGCCCTCTAGCCCTACACATGTCCATAGCCCCACAGCAAACAATAGGTGGGATGAACAGGACACAATGTCATGTCAATTCAGGCCAGGATTTGCTGTCAAATGAGTAGTGAAACATTTTTTTAAATTACATTTTAAGAGCTTTTGTGGATTTCAGAATTGCACACGGGGACTCCGGACCTGAAAATAAAACAGGTAAACAAAAGGCTGTACAGCACAACAGGACGAAGCAGCAGCAACGATCATGATGGCAAGTATTTTCCGAGGGCCCACTCTGTGCAGGTGTTGTGCTCATCCTTCTACCTGCGACTGTATCTCATCTCCCAATAGCAGCCCCAAAACCAAACCCTGCTGTCCAGTCCATTCCAGTGCCTATCCACTCTGAGTACACAGCCCTATGACATGTGCTGATGTTCCTTTTTTCCTGCTTTAGTCACGGAAGTTAGAGATTACGTGACTTGCCCCAGGCCACTGGTCCAGCTGAGGATAGTATACCCGAAAGCCAGGCAGGCTCCTAACAAGATAAACGGCAGTGCTGGTGAGAAAGAGAAAAGTGAGAGACCTATACAGCCCAAGGAACTAACCAAATCTCCTGAGAATAGGGTCCCATTTGGTGCTTGTTGTTGTGGAGTGCCGTTGAGTTGGTTCCGACCCATAGCGACCCTGTATAGGGTTTCCAAGGAGCAGCTGGTGAGCTTGAACCGTTGACCTTGCAGTTCAAACGGCTTTGCAGTCTGACACGTTAGTCCACAGCGCCACACTTCGGTGCTTAGACACCCTTAAAAGGAAGGGGGCCAACCAAAAGTGCAAGAAATACTTGCTCTTCCAAGGAAGGGGACAGACAGAAATCAGCTCTTTCCTAGACCACAAGACTTCCTGATTCGACCCCCAGAAGGAGTCCAGTCCTGTTAGCAACTCTGAGCCAATCCCAAGGATCCAGGTGAAGCTCATGAAGATCAGGTGAGATGTCCTGAAGACTAGGCAAAGACACAGGTGGGCAGAGTCTAAAGTCTGAGTCAGGTGCAGAAGGAGCAGACACATCACAATATCCACAGAACACAACCAGAGTGAATGCAGCCAGAGAGCCTAAGGATCTTTGGGGAAGGACTGAAAACAAAACAAAACAAATCCCAGGAGTCTAAGATTGGCTCTCCTCACACTCAGGAACATCATGTGTAGGGCCACTGAAAGCCCCTAGCCTTGTCTCTGGTAAGAAAAAAGTGGGACTGATCCCACCAGTCATTTCACATGAGCCTGTGAAAAGATTCCACCTTACTGCGCTTTCCAAAGCGCTTTTCTAGCTTGCCGGGGTGAGGGAGGGAATATGCCTGGATTTCAATAGCTAGCCGCTGTGAGAATCTAAAAAATGACAGAGCGCATCAGTGCATCCAAAGAAAAGGTGCAGGAAGCTACTGCTTCCAAAAACTGTCTGTCACTCAGTCCTCTCTACCTGGCTAACAAATCAAGCTAGAAATGTTTTGGCTGCCTGTATCTTCACTGCCCAGTCTTTGCAGAGGCTGACTTATCAACTATGACTGAGCCATAACTGAAATGCAAGACCCTCATAAAGAACATCAACAAATTCAACAGGTGGTCTCTATAGAAAAGCCCAACAAGGATTTTGAAGACAGGAACCAGGTAGCCATGTAATGGCAGAAAAATAGAAAACAGTGACACAAAGAGATCAAAGGGTATAAGGTGAACAAACCAGAGCACTTCCATTCTGGCACAATATTGTCCAAATCTCTTTTCTGTGATGCCCAAAAAGTCCACAAACCAAATTTAAATTCCCTTCTTCTACCCTTGCTCCTATTAAGTCACTAAGAATGTCTCAGTGCTCCATGAGCACAAGGGGTTCTTCTCAGCAAAGGGGACCATGACATCTACTTATTACCACTTACAAACCAGCACCCCAACCTCAAGTCTACTTGTTGATTTTATCTGCCCAGGATCCTCAGCTCCAGTCCATGAAGAAAATATGAAGTCCACACAAAGATCTAGTATTCCAACACTTTTTCCCTACTCATAAAATGTTTCCCTTTAAGGGAATGATTCATTCATTCATTCCAGAAAAAGTAGTTAATGAGTGCCTCCAACAGACCAGATACTGCCCTCTAGAAAATTCATGAGCAGAAGTTCTTCAATCCCTCCTGTCTAAATTACTGGGATTAATTTAAGTAAATAGAAAGACAAACATGGGTGTTCAAGGATTGGGAGAATTAATATCGTTAAGATGTCAGAACTCCCTAAAAGTGATCTAAAGATTCAATACGATCCCTATCAAAATCCCAGCTAGGTTTTGTTTGTTTTTAAACAGAAATGGGTGACAAACTAATCTTAAAAATCATACTGAAATACAAGAGACCCTGAACAACCAAAGCAATCTTGAAAAAAGAATAAAGTTGGAGGACTTAGACTTCCCAATTTCAAAATTTGCTGCATAGCCACAGTAAATAAGATAGTGTGGTACTTGTGTAAATTTAAGTTAATGAAATGCAAAGTGCAGGAATAAATGATCAGTTGATTTTTTACAAGGATGCCAGACCAATCATTAAGGGAAATCAGTAAAACACAAACCAGTTAAGGTGAAGCTACTACTGGTCTTTCCAAAGAAGAACTGAAGATGCTTGGAATCAATCAGTCCAATGGACTAATTAAACACGTGAATATCAACCTCCATCACTCTGAGATCTGAAATAGATGGTGCTACCATCTAGTTCTGGCTACCACTACCAACTGTTCTGCAAGTGATCACGAGAAAGTTCCAGAGAGAATAGGAGAAAATATGGAACAAAACTGAAAATTATGGGGGGAGAAAAAAACAAGGGCTAGTCTTACTGGTCAGAAAGAGCCTGAAGGACCCCAAGACTATGGCCCTCAAACACTCTTCAGGTCTGGAAAGGAACTCACCCTTGTATGCCATTTTCAGGCTAATGGTGTTGTTGTTAAGTCGAGTCGGTTGCGACCCTGAACAGGGTTTCCGAGGCTATAAATCTTTACGGGAGCAGAAAGTCTCATCTTTTTCTCGCGGAGCAGCTGGTAGTTTCGAACTGCCCGAGTCATAACCACTACGCTACCAGAGCTCTTTTTTTCAGGCTAATAGTAGATAGGAATACAGAGGGGGCATGCTCACCATGGAATGGCCGATCACTGAAAATCAAACAGGCAACTTTTACCTAAGGGCAGAGTTGAAAAGGGATAGGAAGGTAAGTAGAATGAAAATAGGAAACAGAGGAAGTGGGATAACATTTGTTGCACAAAGGGGATTACAGTCATTGCAATGAAACAAAGTGCACGGGATTTGTTGAGTGTAAAGCATAATCTTGTCTGTAAACCTTCACTGAATTCACAATAAAAAGTTAAACAAATATACAACAGTGTCATCAAGTCAATTCTCACAACTCTGTGTGTGTGAGAAAAGAATGGTGTTCTACAGGGTTTT